GGAGGGGGGGGGGGCGAAGTGAGGCCTCCGCCGAAGAAGAGAAGCCGCCGGTGAGATTAACGCGCTTCGCACCGCCCGACGCGACGGCCGCGTCAGCGCAAAGCGGTTCCGGGAAACACATGTTGGCCTGCCATTGAAGATGCCCTGGAGTATAATTCGCTACCTTAGGGTCAAACTGACGTAAGTACATACATGAAATGTTTGGAAACAGACATATACGACTCCTTTTACTTAAGCTGTAGAAATACGTTCTGATTCTGGTAATAGTTGAAAACAAAATTTGCAAACATTTTAGTTCCGTCAGTCTGACTCTAAGGTAGTGAATTGTGCGGATTTGGATATGGATATGGACTTGTAAACGTAAAGGACAATTGCAGAGAAGGAAAAGACCAAAAAAAAGAGGACGCGGGAAAAGGTGACAAGAAATCAAAGCAGGAATTTATTACAGGAATGTAGGCATTTGACCAACGTTAGCAATAACACATCGAGTGGACTAGCACAAAATGAGAAGATAGTATTATACCAAGGAAAATTATTTCGTTAATACGGAGAAAGGGACCAAGTCAAGAGTATAATTGTGACGAAGTATTGAGGATGATGAACGTCTTCTGTTGGGAAAAGAAATTCACATGAATCGTTCGGTAATGAAAAGAATAGCAACATAATCGGCAAACGATCAATAGCGCACAGGAGGCAATCAAGGAGAACATAATACCCTACTATTGAACTGTGGATGAACAGAGGGCAATGTCACGTTAAAAAACGCGTAAATTGTAATTGGAAAGACAAAGGTAAAATGATGATGTAATACCAGAGATAACGAAGGTGTAGAGGAGGGGAAAATTTACTGTTTTACAAAAATATCATAAGACCATTACTTTTATATTCATGCCAAGAATGGATCAGCGCTGCCAATTCGAACGCCAAAAATCTCCAAATAATCCAAAATCAGTTCCTCTGTACCATCGCGAATGCTACGTGAAACATCTCCACTGCACAACTTCAAAACAATTACAGTTAGAACTGAAAACCAACCACATTTTTTCATCCATCTACTTCTTCCAAAACTTCCCAAATATATCCAATGCAATCCCCCTAAGTCTCAGCCAAATAATTCAATACAGGGAACCTCAAGACCAAATTCCCGTTTCTTACATTTCTAAATAAATTCTCAGATCTAGACGCAAAAAGTAGAGTTATCATACAAAGATACCTCTACCACCTTAGTAGTAATGTAAGTTGTATTTTAAGATTATTAGTAAGTTTATTGTAAGATAATTATAAGAATATTTAACCAATCATAAGAAAAATAGAGTGTTTTAAACACAGATTTTTGTATTGTTCAATCCAAAAGAAAATAAATAAAAAAGACGCACAAGTCCTTGAGGCAAGTAAGAAGAACGGGAGAAAATGATACAGCTCAAAGCGGTGCGGAGGGAAAGTTACCTGACACACTCGTCGGGCCTGCCGTGCGACGCGCCCGCTGGCGCAGAAATTAACCCGAAGTTGGTTTTATTCTAATGACTCCCCCTGCCCCTCTCGCCGCCCGGAGGGCCGCGGAGGGCAGCGGAGACGGAGTGGTCCCGGAGGAAAGGGGGAGGGGAGAGGGGCGAGGCGAAGGCGAAAGTTTAAAAAATAGGAGGGCACAAGACAGAGGTGAGCCGTGAGCGGTCGTAAAGCGATATCTCGCACTTCAGAGAGTTTCTCCCCTTTGAGGGCGCCCTCTGGCAGCGGCGAGGGCGGAGGCGGCGGCGGAGGTGGGGGCGGAGGCAGACGCGGGAGCGAGGCGCAGGCAGTGATGGCGGAGGCAGCGGTGGCAGCAAATGCGGCGGCGAGGGCGGCGAGGGCGGCAGCGGAGGTGGTGGAGGAGAAGGGGTTTGCGGCGGCGGTGGTGAGGATGGAGGCAGACGCGGAGGTGGCGGCGGCACGAGCAGGGGCGGGGCTGGGGCTATGGCACCTTGAGACGTAGAAGAGTCACCTCAGCTCTCCGCTATGTTTCCCTGAAATGTGCCGCCAGCCAGCGTGCGGCAGGTTGAAAAATTCCGTTATTATTATGCTAAATACTTCATAAGACTATCAAAAAGTAAAAATCACAAAGATGTTTCTTTCCCAATTTTAAGAATAAAAGAGCGTAGAATGGTGTTATGTGTAGGAGGCCAACAATCCCTGAAAACAAAAAATACAGTTCTACGGTGTTTTTTCGTGATTAAAATAAAACTACGGTGGTGGCGCAGTTCTGGCTTCGGTTTCAGCCCGTCCACGTACAGAGAGAAACATGTGTCAAGTCTTCGGGTGCCCTCGTCGCATTAAACACCGTGAAGAGCAGAGCGTCGCAGGGCGCGGTGGGCGTCGGACGAGTAGTCAGCGGCGGCGGCGCGGGTCGTGGGAGGCACGTGGCCTTTTCGGCGGCGGGCGATTTATTAATTAGGCCGAGGCCCTGCGGGGCGCGCCGGCCCATCGCTCTTGCGGCTGGCGCGGCGATTGGAGCCGGGCTCCGGCTCTGCCGCCGCGCGCCACTTGGCTCCGCCAGGCGCTTCAACACGCGCCCGCCTGCGCCATTCGTTCCGCGTGGCAAACAGGAACGCTTTTCACTCTAAATGTTACTAAGACTCACTGGTACTAGTGAGGTGTTCGTATTTGCATAATGATTAGAGGCGGGTTTTAATATCCTAAAACATTGCAAAAAATGTTTGCAAAAAACATCGCATCAATAACTTAAATCACTTAAAATGTTTAAAATGTCCTAAATGCAAAGAAAAATACGTAAAAAAATGTTATCAAAACCAGTTTAGATAAATAACTAGAGCTGTTGGACACGTTACTGATGTAATCGCGACTTCTTCTATTCGTTCAAGTGCACTCAGCTGGCAAACTTTTGTTTCGACTTTTCTTTACCAGAAAATCTGTCTTTAGTTATCCCTGAATCGGCCGAATCGACAATGACGACAAAGGATGATACAACAGATGTCATTACAATTTCTGAGCGAAGGAATCGAACAGGCCACCTAGGAATTCTGTGGAGAACATTTACTGCATCTCGTAAATATTATTTGAAGTAAGTACCATTCAAATTATATTAAAATCTAATAAATCATCTAAACGTGCATTAAAAACAAAGAAAAGTTAAAAAAAGTGACTTAATTAATTCGCACGTGCAATTTTACATTTTCTTGCGGAAAAGTGAAATGTCATACACATTATTTAAACCCAAAACCTTAACAATCCCCCTTGTACCTGTGCAGCACTCTCTCCAAGTACTCATAAATAAATAAAAAATACACGTAACATTTTTTAAAAACACCTGTGGTTATCTAAACAGTGCAGTGCTTCAGAGGTATCTTAAGAGTCTAGAGCAGCTACAAGGTTTTCAGCATTAAATTATACATTATTAGAGAAGGACATACCCTTTTGGGTCCTTGGTTAACGTGCACGCTTTCCACGGCACAACCTCGGGTTCGATTCCCGACTGGGGGAAAGTTATAACTGCGGTTTCCTTACAAACGACCTAGTATCTATTGCTGTGTGACGATGAGAAAGCCCACCCAAGAGGCCAGTATTCATGGTGGAGGGATGTCTTCGCGCTAACCACACGAACCCCTTATCCTAAGGTCGAGAGGATGGTCCTCCGTTGATTATAATAATACGGAACACCAGACGCGTTCAAGCTTTACGACTCTGGAGAGAGATTTCTCCAAAGAAAACTCCCATCGATTCGCGCGGTTTCTGCCATTACCCCCCCTTCTCCGCTCCTTGCCCTCGCCCCTCCCACACCGAGAGGGACGCGCCCTCGTCGATAGGGGATGAAAAATGGAAAAGCGGCGCGCGCGATCGGGGGAGAATTACGGCTGATCCGATGACTCGCGGCGCCAACTTTTCTAATAAGGCTAATCCGATGTGTGAACAAGTGCAGGCTGCACGCCGCCGTGCCGGGAGGGTGCATTTTTTGTGAGGACTGGGGCCAATTCCAGCGGAGCGGCGAACGAGGGCGGAAGGGCGAAGGGCGCGGAGAGGCAGAGCGATGTGATTTGGAGGAAGGGACTCGCGTTGGATGCAGCCGTTTGAGACAACCGAAAACGAGGGAGGAGAGAGCAAGACGAAGCTCAATAACGACACATAAAGAGAATAATGTAATACATGAAAAGGTGTGAAACAAGTGAAACATGAGAAGAGATCAGAAGGTTGGGGAATATTGTTTTCGTTGACAATAGGTTCAAGAAGTTAAAAATGATTTAAAAGAGCAAAGAAATTTAAAAAATATACATTCAGATTCACCGTCCTCGCAGTTTAGCTCATTGGTCAGCTTTCGGTTTCCATGACGCGACCCCGGGTTCGATTCCCGGTCGGGAAAGGTTATATTGGGCGTTTTCCTTGCAATCACCCTGTATACGCTGCTGTGTGATGATGCGAAACCTGGTAATGTCTTCGTGCTCGTAACCACATGTGACTCTTAAACCCTGGCCGCGAGACCGGGACGCTGCTGGTAGGCCCTGGCGCGTTGGCGGGCTGACGCGCGAGGTACAGACAGTCATGCAGATGCTGAAGAAAACTTCCAGATAATAGTAGTAACTGTCAGGTAGTAAACGTATTTAGAAATTAGGTGACAAAGAGACTTAAAGAGTCGATGTGAAACTGATATAATAGGGGCGAACGCAGGTAAACAATATATGAAAAATCACAGATATCAAGGGTGAAAGTGACATCTATAACGAGTATGTAACAAGATGTGCCCAAGGCAAATAAGAGAAGCTGCATTGGTTATGAGCGGAAGGAAGCAAACGAAAAGAAATCTCTGAGTTGGAAGCATGGGGACAAGAGACGGGAAGAAACGTCTAGCGATGTGTGATGCGGTGTGCGGCATGAAGAGACGAGCGATATGAAGCATAGACACAAGAGGAGGAACAGTCTAAAGTGGAGTCTAAAGAAGAGGAATAGTCTATGTGGAGGTAAGTGCAGAATGTAGAGGCGAGAGTGGCAAATGATCGTATAGAAGCGCGGTTACAAGAGTTGGGAAGAGTCGCCTGGAGGTGTGTGTAAGAACATGTGGAGGCGGCTGTGGCGGAGGATGCGTGGGGAAGAATGAACGCAGGAGGCGGGAAGAAACGCCACAAGATGTGTGGAGAAGAGTGGAGGTAGGTGGCTGCAAGAGGAAGCATACACACACGAGTCGAGACGAAACGTCTGGGGGCGTGTCGCCGTGAGTGGCGCGGGTGTAGGCGCGGTGGCGAAGGCGTGGTGGGATGTGCGGTGAGTGGAGGCGTGTGTGGCGCGTGGAAGCGTGTGGAGCAGGGCGCAGGTGATGCGCGTGGCGTGGGAGCACCCCAGCCACCGCCGCCGCCGCCGCCACCGCCGCCTCCGGCAACCTTGCATATTTCACCGCGCGGCGGTGGCAAGGCGCGGGCCCCGCCGCTCCCCATTAGCGTGCGCATCTCGATATGCATATTTGAACGGCACCGGATCCGGCGCCCCGCCCCGGCTCCCGTCCATCCCGCCGCACCGCACCCTGCACGCGCGCCGCACACTGGGCCCAATCCCAACATAGAGGATTCCAGAGCGAAACCATTCGTTGCAGAGGGTTGGTTGGTTGCTAGTGATTCTAAATTGATTCATAAATTTTTGACTAACCGGAAGACGCCGCGACGTCGGCCTCTCAGCCAACGACGCGGCGTGTGCCGGATAGCCAAGAATTTATGGAATCGAACCGCGGAAGCTTAGCCAGTCAACTACTCAGTCCCGTACGTGTAGTATATGTTTCCCCCCCTCAGGTGGTGTTGATCTTCCTCAGATTCTGGATGGCGAGTTTCGGCGTAGACCTACCGACGGCTAACGTGGTTTCCCCTCAGCCAGGTATCTCCCACCTGCGGGGCACCGCCACAGACGGGACAATCTCTAAGCTCCCAACATGTGTGGTAGTGTAATTCATGTTATTGTAACTGTGTGTAAGGGGTGAGGGTAGGACCAGGAAGAGAAAGGTAAGTTCGCGCGTGGTCCGTGGCCCTTTTGTGCCTGATATTGAGCGGAGAAACCACGGGAAACTACCGATCAGAGCAGCCGGTCGCTTGAATTGTCTTCCAGACAGAGACTGAGTTCGACCTAGCCGATGTGTTTCACGACAAAACTATTTGTTGAAGAGAATAAACACAGAAATCGCGTTGACATTGTTCCACACCAGAGTGATCCAGCAATGAGATTTTTAAACAAAATTCAAAATCACACAGTGTAAATACAAAAATGTATTATAGAGTATTCAATCTTTTTCGTTTTAAATTTATCTAATGAAATGTGTAAGGATTTCAAAATTTATAAATTATATTTTTATTTATTACTTTATTCATAATACCCCTTAAGTCTGTTTAAATTAGTTGGCAGGTTTTGACATTCACATTTTGATTGCTTGTAGGAAGTAGTGGAAGTGAGTTTAAAACTCACACGAGCGCAGTCTCGAGTTACAGCTTATTTTTGTTCAGAGGACACTAGCAAACCAATGCAGAGTGAAAATTAGACAGTTTCTCCGTAACATTTGGCGAGAAAACGAACCTATAACATTAAGTGTGAAGAGAGACGCTCTGGCTAATGCAGAGTGTGAGGTCATTCATGAATCAATACATACGAAAGATAAGGAAACATACTGCCAGCGATGAAATTCTTGATCCCCGAGTACCTGGGCTATGTGATCATATATGCATTAATCTTTATACTATAAACTTTAAATATAAACTTTAACTATAAACTTTAACTATAAATATTTCTATTACAAATAGTTATACAGAACGCAGTTAAATTACAAAACCTCTGGACGCGGAATAAGAGAGTTTCAAATTTTGTAGAAGCGTGTGGTAAGATTCTACGAAAAACGCTAGTCTTAATAAAAAATAGTTACAGTCAGTTGCTATTATTAGGCTGACATGATGACATTAGGCTAACATTAATGAACTGATTCATTCGTTCATCAATATCATGGATTTGCAAGCAAGGATACAAAGAGTAATATTTGATAGGGTACGTTTAGAATAATTTAGCAAATAATGTGTACGTTTTACAATAAATTTTATGCGTACACGGAAAATGTTTTCATATTATATCTTTATCTGAAAAAATCACGTTCAAAGTAAACCCACTGATTAATAAAAATGTTCAAGAAGCGTGTCTAATTTTTATTGCTTCATTTTTATATAAACGTAGTATTTCGTTTCATAATTTGCCGCAGAATAGATTATGTGCTTGAAAAACCAATGCAATTGTGGTTAGTGCGCGTTTGTGGTTTCGGCCCACTGTGCTGTGTTGCGAACCCTCATTACGAGAAGGAAACGTGAACCGCTCTCTAGCTCGCCCTCAGTTAGCCAATGGAACAGACTTACTTTGCTTTACACTTTAAAGACACGAGAATGCATTGTGTTATTGAAGTTATTTATCAATATTATGAAGATAACAACATGCATCTTAATGAAGGAAATATCGACTTATGGAAGAATGGGATTAATGATTTAAATCTATATCGTAATGTTTTGACAGCACAAGAAAATGTATATTACTTGGAAGAAGAATAGCTTATATTCCCTCAGTTTGAAACACCACACGATCTGAGAGAATAAATGTCAATTAAAACTATAAATGGACGACGACAGTTTGAACAAAAATGTTCGTTGTTAGAAGTATACTCAGTAAGTACACTGGAGACAAGACATGATAAATCATGAATTAATAAAAATATAATGATAATTTTTTTGAGTCAAGAGATAAGTGGATGAGTTTCACACAATTAATTTTTATGAACTAGCAATTGGTCCTATGTCGTAGTGGAGCAAGCACGAATGTTATTATGAAAGCGACCTTATCAACACATATACGTACGATGTTATTTTACGAGAAAATAGGCGGTGTTATGTCTCTGTTTATAAAAATGTTAACAGAATATTTACAAATAAATCCAAAAATTAAAATCAGATGGGAATAAAGTGTACAATACAACGGAATAATTATACAAAATCAGTGTCGAATATTGAAGTTCAAGTTAAAGAGAAACGTGAGGTCGATTCCGGAACTGAGAAGGGATACCAACATTTTGCGCAAAGAATGACGTCAATCCACGCGATGCTACTGTACTTTTCTCCAAATGTCTGCTAGTAACGCAATACATTTCGAAATGTGAGAGATAAGCATAGTAATAATTGAACATCACAATTCGCAAATTTCGGCATGATGACTTTCAGTGATTAAAATTGAGTAACGCTGAAAGCTAGAAATGGTTTCATTACACGGCACTATTTGAGGTATTCATCAAACATGGATACTAACACGCGTATATCTCTCTTTAAAATATAATGAGATAAAACATACCGGTTGCAAATAATCTACGCAATTTCAGCGTAGCCTGGTTCCTATGCAAATTACACGGACTTTGGCAAACCTAACATGCACACGTTGTTACGTCCCACCGACACACAGTGTCATTTTCGTGCTTTTTAAACGTTGAAACTGTCACATCCGTTCGATAGAAAGCCAGCAGTATTTACACTGATTTGAAATTTAAATTTATGCATAGTCAAGATCATATCTGAAAAACGTGACCTCATTTTAACTCAATCTGCAACTAATACACCTTTTTCATGAATATTAAAAGTGTAGGAGGCTTTGTCTGGTATCATGATAAGTTCCACGTTGACGAACACTAGTTTTTTAAACAAAATCTGTCAGAAATAGTACTTACAGTTCGTAAAAAATGTAAGGATGAAAAAATAGCGCAGACGTACTTTAAAGCGATTTTTAAAATGTCGGCTTTCTAAAATCCTTTAATCTGTTTAGAAATATACCCCTGAAACTGAATAAGAATAATAAATAATTACCCAATAAAGAATATTTTTATAGGTAATTCAATAATGCAATGTGATTTAATAATGTAACAGATCAACGTTTTTACTGTGTTTTTCGGTAACTACATAACTTTTATACACTAATAAGAGAAAAAATGTGCGCTTGCTATGGCAGAAAAGTGACACTAAGAGGGGAGAACGTCCAGTCACGCTTGAAGTGTGTACGGCCTGGGTGGCCGCACTTTGAACGGATGGTAAGGTAGTCAACCTACATCTCATAGAATGCACGCACACACCCTGTTTAGAATTAAACGACACAGCAACTGCTCACATTGCGACCGTCTTCGTCAAAATATAGCCAAGTCGTTCGCAGCGCAACTCGCGGGAGCTGAGAGAAACCTCAAACAGATTCAGACTGGGAGTTACGACAACTGCAGTGCGCAGAAAAGTATCTCTACAGTGGCACCAGGATGCTGACAGTGCTCTCAAGAAAAAAATGTGTTGGTATCGCAAGCCCCAGAGAGCGCTGTGACCGCTTGCGGGGGCGGAGCGAGTTGACGGCACGCATGCGACACTAGCGCCGCGCGCGTAGGGCGGGGGGCAATTGAAAGCTTCACGCTTGTGGGGTACTCAAGGAGTCACATGCGAGTGGCGCGACAGGACGCTTCGCGCTTGAAGGGGTTCTCTGGGATGCGCATGCGAGCGGCGCGACCTAACACCTCACGCTTCAGGGAACCCATGGAGTCGCATGCGAGCGGTGCGGCCTAGCGCCTTACGCTTGTGGGGTACTCACGGAGTCGCATGCGAGCAGTGTAGCTAGTAGTTGGTACTCATGGAGTTGTATGCGACCGCCTCATGCTTGGTGTGCACTCACGAAATCGCACACGAGTGGTGCGGTCGAGGGCCTAGAACTTGTTGGGTACTCACGCTGTTGCATGCGAACGCCTAATGTTTGAGGGGTACTCACGGAATCGCACGCGATCGCCTAATGCCTGAGGGGTACTCACGGAGTCGCATGCGATCGCCTAGTACTTGAAGGGTACTCACGGAGTCGCACGCGAGCGCCTACTGCTTGAGGGGTCCTCACGGAGTCGCACGCGAGCGCCTAGTGCTTGAGGGGTACTCACGGAGTCGCATGCGAGCGCGTAGTGCTTGGGGGTACTCTCGGAGTCGCACGCGAGCGCCTAGTGCTTGAGGGGCTCTCACGGAGTCGCACGCGAGCGCGTAGTGCT